TCAAAAGAGGTTTGGTATTTCATCAAACATCAACAAAACGACAGACTGAGCTCAACCAAGGCACATAGTATACAGTGGAACAAAGCGTTCATGATAGCAGAATCAGGTATTTTCAGTTTGATTAAATATGGAAAATCGGTTCTCACAGCTCAGATAGACTGAATTTGTTTTCGCAAGTTTATCCAGTTTGGCAATTTTATTGTAACAGCGCTTTCGGTTTTCCGCAGAATGGTGAATATTGCACCGGTTATTCTGTTTAAGTTTCGTTTTTGTCATGCTTGATTTCACATGAATATCCCTAACGAAAACATCTACAAATATGAGGCCATAACGATGAGAACGTAGTAAAACAAAATTCACTGATTTGTGCTAATTGGTGTTGTTAATGAAAAATGTACATTGGTTTCTTTTTACTAGATGAAAAACTGTGAAGGTGGTGAAGATGAGTCGATTGGGTGGGGTACTATGAAGTCATACGGATGTTATGGCTGCAACGGAACCTGCTACGTATGACAGCTCAGTGACAAATACGCGTGCGCGCATCACAATGACCGTGACAGGAACTAAAAACTGGCAAAGATGTAAACCGTGACTGTGAGGACGCACACGCGCTTCTGCAGCGAGTATCAAGTCGCAATAAAGAGAAGTGGATATGGATACCCTTGTTTATCCCACGAAAACAGCCACGTAATTTGATCCCGTGTGATCAGATGTGTGGAAGACAACTTTCTGTGGATTCTGTTGCATCAGTGATGCGCGCACGTGCGTGTGCGTAAATGATCTACATCACATGCGACTAGTCTGAGATGGTACACGCGCTTTGTCTTCTTCCACAGAATTTGGTGAATCGTACGAAAGGTTTTCTTGCGGGCGACACGGTCAACAGTCGCGTACCAAAAGCAGCAAAGAAGAGAACGTGTCTGTAAGAACCGTGAGAATCAATCACGGTTCCGATCTCCCTGTCACTGGAACGCAGTAGCTGTTTTTCTGTATACCCCGACATAGCATTGGACGACTAAGTTCGAGATAAGCATACTAGAGGTCACAATGAGAAAATTTCGGCGAGCGCCACCGGATTAGAGAAATGATAATGTACATACATTTTTTCTCGTAATTCAGGTTGATTGTATTGGAAAACTTGTTTGTAAATGTCGGTGTGACATCACTATGACTTCAATCACAAGCACCCAATGAGACTAAAGGGGGAGGGTCAAACATCTATGGTGATGTACCCCAGGGGGTGCACATGTAACTGGGTTCGGCGTCCTGGTCGGAGGAACAGGCGGTTTCATCTCAATAAGACCTAACACAGTGAATGGGATTTTCAAGTTAGGCTGCTCTCAAGCAACGTTGTTCATTCACATTGAAAGAATACGCCCCCTCCGGGTGCAAATAGAACAAAAGTATCATACTGGACCAGGTTAATCTGATCAAATCATACAGGCGAACAAATGACGGAACCCCTCATTTGTAGGGCCAGTCATGGGAATCGGTGTTTTTAGTACGGGATCAAACTGTTGTATGAGCTAGAGAAACTATCAGAAGACGAGTCTCATTGCTCCAGCTACTCCTCTGATTGATACCGATTGCTGCTTGCCATATCCCACAGTTCGCGCACTCATTATCTATTCATTCTAAAATGAGAATTAGAAATTAAAAATACCAAAATCACCAATATTTTATATTTAGACAGTTTCTGATTGAAAACATGGGGCTAGTTCCCCTCACAAAAATATGTGTCTGGCACTACTGAAAGAACAAATATTTGTTTTATCCCTCAACCTCAACAGCATTTTCATTATTGTTCCAATTCTGAAGTTTTTATTCCATATCCTGCTCAAACACATCAGTTCATCAGTCCATTCTGCTCCGAAATTCAACGCATCTATTGTTTCACTACGTCATCATCGTGATTGAAAGACTACTTTAAGGACCAAGAACAAATGCAACCTATATCTCACCCGGCGGACGCATCACAGATGAAGTGCCGACGCACATACAAAAGGCTCGGTTGGCATTTACCAACTTCAGACATTTGTGGCGCCGTCGCATTACCATCATCATCATCATCATCATCATCATCATCGTACAGCGAAATGCAATGAGGCGAACTTCACTGATTGCTGCCAAACTCGCAATGCATACAAGGTTAGTGGTAAAATTTAAGGTGGACAGGGATTGGACCTATTTTGAGGGAGGGGGAAGAAGGTGAATCTCTATGGTCAACACACAGAGTATGCGATCGAACTCTGCATATATACCGTTTCAAGCATTCTGACCTAATAAGAAACGATAACAAGAACGTCACTGCTGCCGGTTCGCTGTCACATCCTTCAATGTCTCCAACCAACCAGTTGTGGAGTCTTTCGGGCTCCAACCTGGAAGGCGAAAGACACCGACTCTACCTAATGGCTCTGTGCATTTCTCCATGCCTCGTCTCTACGTCATCTGTTGACCTCCACGTGATTTTCTCCAGCCCGGATTAGCTACAACGAATAAAGCGCGGTGTGGCAGACGACAGCTGGGCATACGCAGCGAAGTCTACTAATCTGAATTCGGTGTGCCAGCAGGTTTATACCTGATAGCCTCTGAAGCACACGACGGCTTACCTCCAGGTTACTAACCCCTTCGCTCTATCCAACACGGGCTAAACTACGTAAACACCGATAATCGAAAACTTCCAGTCGACGGATATCTGCTACTCGCAAACTCAGGGTCTCACAACCATTACGCAGGAAGGGAGGAACGCTAGCACAATATACACGACCTTTCAACATAAGTGAAACGTCGAACCTAAGCCAAAGTTGTTTCAGTTCTGCGTATGCTGTTCGAGCCTTGGAAATGCGGGCGGTTATCTCCTTGGCTGCACTACCGTCATTAGTCAGGCAACTACCTACGTAGGAAAAGTAATCCACCACAACTAAATCCTGGCCATTTAGTTTCAGAGCGGGAGTAGACGAAACCCAGTCCTACACTTTGAAGGTGCAGAGCACATACCGAGTGTGGTTACTGCGTTTGTTAATCTATCAAGTGCGTTTTGCGCGTCCTCCATACACTCGAACAGACAGACGATGTCATCGGCGTACTCCAAATCGCACAGCTTTTCTACAGCTGTCCANTGATTAGATCTTTGGCTCGGTAAAAGCCATCCTGTGTGGCTCGTTGGGTCATAGAGGTGCACAAGTCATCACACCACGTCAAGGTGCAGTATCGTCGTGACATCCGGTTCTATGAAGGGTCGAGTATGTGCTGCAGCATTTCGGTTAGCTTTGGTCTACAGTGCAGAGACTTGGCCACCACGGGAACAAGATAAAAACAGATTATTGGTGTTTGAACACCGCTGTCTACGTCGCATCGCACGAGTCTGGTGGGGTAACCGGACTAGCAATGCGGAGATTAGACGTAGAGTTTTAGGTGGTCGCAGTCGTCTATCGGAGCACGTGATCGACCTCCATAGATTACGTTAATTTGGCCGTGTGTTACGCATGTCACCAGATAGGTTGCCACGGCGAGCGATGTTTACGGAGGCCGGTAGCGATTGGAGAAAGGTCAAGGGCGGTCAACTTAAGACCTGGCAAGAGGGTATAAAATCCCTAACCAGGAGACTGGGTCACATAGATACTGTTTGGCTCCCTGGCTGGGGACCCCGACATGATGGTCACCGATGGTTAGAGACACTGAGCGATATGGCTGGGTGTCGCAAACAGTGGCGCTTGTGCATCTACTCATTACTCTTGTGATATCAGTCTATAATAATTCTCTATCTCCAGCTTGAATTTGCTCCCAACCTTCTAATCTTCATTCTGCCGTTTTATCAAAATGCGGCACCAAAAGACAACTAAAACCGGCGCGCGAAAGTGCATGGTTAACGGCTGTAAAAACTGAACTGAGGGGCCCTCATAGACAACAATCTATGCACACATGCGCACTGAAAAACCGGATCGTTTGTCTTTGTCATATGCTGGCGTAAAACAAAAACACCGATTCGTTCTGTGGTCCGGTCTACTTCAAAAAGACTTTATGAACATTGTTATTATTAACATTAATTAATCACATTAATTATTATTAACATTGTCAATCAATAGTCGTTTTTTCCATTTCGGTGAACACGAATCACAAAGTAGGATGATGAACTTTGATTCCTCGTGAGACTTCTACCCGGAAGACACCAAAAAGACGGTCGAATTAAGTGCCAGGCACGGGAAGGTGAATGAAATTACTAGTCCTTTGTGCAATCCAAACATAATACTTACGACACTAGGATTCGTGAACGTGTTGAACCTAACAATATGTTCATTAAGATTGTAGCTTACTTGAACAAACTCCTCGTATGAGATGAACCCATCACCGTCCAAATCGGCCTCAGCCATAGTTCGATCACCAATATTATTGATCTGAAAAAATAAAGAGAAGAAAAGTCAGTGAGTGAAAAAATATTGGCAATAATTTGACAGTCATTTTTATTCGCTGAATGTGAGCCCATTAACAACAAATTGGAATAACAAGAAGTGGTTGTGGGGATTCACTTTCCGTAATGGTAAAAACAGGTTTCCACAGATCAGTGACGTCCGACTGCGTCCACCGAGCCGGTAATCGTTTCAAGTCTAGTTCCTATCTCTGGCATTGAACGGTTTGGGATCGAGGTTTTTTCAGTTCCCAGGAACAAACGAACTACCTGCCAGTTAATTACATATTCCGAATGTCTATTTCCCGTTCTGTCAGGTTACTGGAAACATGTTTACCGTAATAAGGCATTTGCAATGAACTGTCCTAGTATTGTAATAACTTCTGCAGGCATGAAGCATACATTTCAGTTAAAAATATACAGGTTGGAGCCAGGGAGAAAAAATAATAATAATAATAATAATAATAATAATAATAATAATAATAATAATGAAAAAAGAGAAGGAACAAAGTATGGAACTAGGGAGGATGTTTTACAGCTTCGTAATTGTTATGTCTTGATGTCAAGACGATATAATCGATACGTACGCCTCTTTGTCTAGGCCCCGACAAATGGAGAAAGAACACTGCCGAGAAACGACAGTCAGAGTGTATTCTTGATCATGAAACAACAAGCAAATATATGTGGTCAGTTGGGCGTACGCGAGCAGACGTGGTGACGAGCCAATCAGATCGTGACCTTGACACTCAGGTTGGTCGACCCGACGACAGCTATTTGATTCGCCTTAGTCATCCAATCAGGAGTCCATTCGGCTTGGGCGTCACGAGCGCACTTGTGGTGTGACGCGCGTCGCTGCGTGGCAGGACGGATTTTGTGCGCTCCGTCCCAACAGTAATCCTGGGGGAAAGAGGGTTGGAGGATCGAACTCTGACACGTGGGGACAGAAATCTGGCGAGAGTGGCTGATCGCCCGAGAACCAGATGGATGAGAAAAGAACAAGAGGGGGAACTGCCGACAGCTCCGAAGAACCGAAGCCAAAATAGAAAAAAGACAGCGAAGCAACCGCCCGGCAATGAGACAGCGATTGCAGATTACAGGTAAAGACATTTCCTTCGTCCCTATGGTTATTTATTCAGCCCACTCAGCTAATGTTTTTTTATAGGAGCGCAGTTGTTTGACACGTTGCATTTTCTGAAGGGTCGCCTCCAAAATCCTCAGTATGGTCGGGGGTGGGTGTCTCTGGTGCGGCTGGTCAACCCTGCCTTGCATCTCGCGAAATGCTCCCATTCGATCAAGCGTCTCAAACAGCATCAGCTGAGGAAGTCCTACTAACCGCCTTCTGCTGGCGGTGTTTCCCACCAAAGTGGGAGGACGAAAATCATCATCATCATCATCGTAGAGCCAAGCTCACAATGTACACAAATCAAGTGATAAAGTACAAGATGGAGAGGAATTGGGTCTACTTGGAGGGAGACAAAGAAAAAGAAGCTCCATGTTCAACACACAGTACACAATCTAAGTGTTCATACATACCTTTTCAAGCATTCTGACTTGTGAAGGAATGACAACAAGAACGCCACTGCTGTCGGTTAGTCGGCATATCCTTTGATGTCTCCAGCCAGCCAGTTGCGGAGTATTTCGGACCCCAACCTGGAAGACGGGAGACACCAATTCTACTTAAACGGTTTGTGCATGTCTTCATGCCTCGTCTCCACGTCATCTGTTGACCTCCACGCGGTTTCTTCCTACCTGGAGCCGTAACTGCGAATAAGGCGCGGTGCGGCAGACAATGGCTGGGCATGCGCAATACGTGCCCTAGACAGCGAAGCCGACTAATCTGAATTCGATGGGGCAGCGAATTCTCCATCGAATCATTACCAAATACGCGACGCCTCACCGAGTTGCTCACAAGCTCGCTCCATCCAACCTGCGCCAAACTACGTAAACATCTGCAGTCGAATACTTCAAGACGAGAATATTTTCCACGCGCAAATTTAGGGTCTCGCAACAATAGAGAAGAACTGACCGCACACTGGCGCAGTATACACGATCATTCATTTTCAACGAAACCCCGCATATGCACCAAAGATGTTTCAATCTTGCGTAAGCTGCNACTACATCTAATTCTTGACCATCAAGCATCAGCGCTGGGGTAGACGACACACTGTCTTGTAGCACCAATTTGCACTTTGAAGGTGCAAAGCGCATACCTAAGGGAGATACAGAGCTTACTAGTCTGTTAAGAGCGCATTGCGCATCCTCCATAGATTCGAACAGGCATACGATGTCATCAGCGTACTCTAAATCGCACAGCTCTTTTACAGCTGCCTATTCAATACCTATGTTTTGGAGACCACTTAGTGCGTTTTCCT